AGTGTTACAAGAAGTGTAACGAGGAGGCCAGTTGGGTTCATTTTGAGTCAAATAACCTGTTTCTGAAAACTACAGACAGCTATACACAGTGACTAGATTATTCACAATGCTAGTCAGTTTGCTTCCTACAGTAGAGAGCACAGTGGTCAGCAGTAGGGATAATTTAAAAACTATTATGTAATTATTATTCACTGCCAGTTTAATTGCATTCTGCAGAGAACATAATCATCCAACGATTTGAGCAAATATGCATATATTCTGGGGGAAAAAAAAAAAAAAAATAGGGATTAATAGAGCCCAGCTTCTTCAGTCTCCCAAGATTTTAAACACTGCATCAGCTGTCAGTGCAAACCAGTCTCCCAGTACGAATGAGAGTGTGGAAAGGAAATTCAAATATAGTCAGCTATCATGGCTTCTCTGTCTTCATTTTTGTCAGATGTAGTCAAGCAAGACAAAAACAAGCAATGAAGTGATTTCATGACCTAGTAATTCCCAGATACAAAAATAATGATTTAATTGGAGCACTTTATGATGTTTTGCAGTCAGAGGAGAACTGAGTCAAGGATTCAGAACGTATTAAGGTGGTTCTCTTTTTCCGACAAGGAAAGCTGAGCCTGGTTTAAACCAAAAAGAGGTTCCATCTGTTCTGGTTGTAGCAAGTTAACAAAACTAAATTAGTGCCTAGACTGGGAAAAGTTCATTATTATCTTCATCTAATATTGCAGAGAGAGAAGGAAAGCATCCGTTATCATAAAACCTTTTCAGTATCTTATTTTTCTTTTGTATATAGCAACAAAATCAATAGACCATTGAAATTGTAAAAATGCGTGTAGCAGTCAGAGCTGATAAAGCTCATTCACTACTGCCATACAAAGTAGGAGGCAAAATTAACTGCCTCTGGAAAGCCGTGAAGTACCTTACAGTGCTTCACATCTGAAAACTAACCTCAGCATCTGGTAGTAGCATGCTGCTGTCAGTGGTGTTAAAACATAAAAACACCCCACAAAATGGTCAGGTGCCATGTGAAGGGCCATACTACAATGATCTCTCCAGCTTCCTCCACCTCTCACCAAAGAGAGGGTTTCAGTGGACTGTGGATCTGGAGATCCCACCAGGAACATGACCATTCGCAACAGTCTTCAGGCTCTCAGCAAAAGCTGATGTCAACAGCTGGGGATAACAGTCAACAACAACATATATCCTAAAACAGCTGTTTGGATGATGACCCAAGAGCAATTTAAAAATGCATACACTGAATTGGTGCTTTGCCTCAGAATTAGTACAAATGATAAGAATATTACACAAAATTGCTGATACATCTTCTTTGAAAATCTGAGATTTATTTAGATGTTAATTTAATATTTAAAATAATATTATAATTATAAATAATATTTAAAATAATAATATTTAAAGGGGGGGGGGGGGGGGGAGGAAGGGGGCCAACAGACTTTTAAATATATTCTTTTAACACCTAAGCTCCCTTGAGTAAGAGTAGAATTTAGGGAAGAAAAATTATACTTAGCACAGATCAATTGGGGTTAAAGACTCAGGAAAATTCTAATAAAAGTACTGTAGAAATAAAAATAGAAACTCTTCTATAAATCTACCAAGACCAGTGAGGAAATACTATGATAATGCAGTTCCCTTACTGTAATTACATATCTTGAGTATATTTTCACTATTACAAAACAGCAATTATTATATCTCCAAAATAAATATTCCTTAATAATGAAATCTGATCAATTCATCTTGTAGTTTAGAAGCAAACTAATTCTGTAACATTAGCTTTTTGTTTAAGAACTTTATTCAATATTATTATCTACCTGGAGATACATGGCATGTTTGTACATATGTCAACATCTACATCAAGTAAACTGGCTGTTAGGTCTGTGTTGTGAAAGCAAAAAAAAAGCCCAAATGTTGCTATTCAATGTTTATAAACCATAAGAAAATTCCCTTCAGGTACTTTATATAAGAAAGGACATTTTATTACCAACAAAACAACTTTCTTTACATGCGAAGACAATCATAATAACTGATATTGCAACTCATTTCCAGTACTTGAAAGATGGCAGGCAAGCTCTTTGAACTTTTATAATTTTACTTTTTTTTTTTTCAGCAGACTTTTTATTTACGCAGCAAAGGATTGACGTATCTTGCAGCAAAAGTTTGATATAAAATTTCTAGAAAGAACTGTTGTTTCTTTGTTTGTTTTTGTTTGTTTCTTTTTATTCCCAAACTTCTTGAGGGTCTTTATACTGTGGGAAAAAAAAAAAAAAAAACAAAAAAAAAAACTGTTCATTTGGTATTAATTTAATTCAAATAGAACGTACTAAGAATTATTTGTTCTTGAATTTCTTGAATTTATTCCAATAAATTCCTCAAAAATATTTATTTGTCTTTTTAACCACAGAATTCCTGCCAAATTTGAAACTAATTGAATTCAGCCTTTTTGCAAACACAACTGACTGGCTAAACACTGTTTAAATGCAAATCTGGTGTTTACTCAGATACTTCACAGATCTTCCACTTCCAAGAGCCTGCCATTATAATACCCTTCCCATTCCCTATTTTTTACTGCATTTTACTTATTTCCATGATGATAACTTGGAAAACTTTTGTCATTGATTTTTTTTTCCAATAAATAAAATAAATAAAATTTATATTTCTGTGTAGAAATGCCTATGAATAAAATCTGCCAAATTAGAATTTAAACAGAGACTAAGAAATTTGAAACATTTGTCAATGGAATCTGGTAAGTAGATGTCTATTTCCCTTAATTGGTTGATCTGATCATCAGAGCAGCAAAGGTAAGAATCCCCTGCCAGTAAATTTACTTTTTTAGCCTCCTGGGCAGGGAATAGAGAGAAATTTACTTTCCAATAAAATATATTTTACTTATGCTGTAAATTTAAGATCTATTCCTCCAAGTTTTTGATTTAGTTACAGAAAAATTGTTGAATTAAGTAAAATATCTTTGCTTTGCTATCAAATTAGTGTGCCACATTGGATATTCAGTGGTGTCAACCACAAATTAAAGAATTTCCATCTCCCCATTGTACTGTTACATTATAATGCAGTAGGTTTACATGACAAGGTTTTGGTAGCAGGGGCCATAGTGCTAGCTTCCGTGAGAAAAATCCAGTTGCCCCAAATAAGGTAAGGGCCCCGCTGCTGAAAAGAGCAGAGCCAGTAAGTGATGTTGTTTATGCCTCTGTGAGGGCAGGAGGTGCTGCAGGCAGGCAGGCAGCAGCAGTTCCCCTGCGGGCTGTGCAGGGAGAGGCCCCTGGTGGAGCAGGCTGTCCCCCTGCAGCCCATGGGTCCCCCATGGAGCAGATCTCCACGCTGCAGCCCCCCCATGGGTGGAGGAGCCCCCGGTGGAGCAGGTGGATGTGGCCTGGAGGAGGCTGCGGCCCATGGAGAGCCCCCGCAGGAGCAGGCCCCGGGCCGGAGCTGCAGCCCGTGGAGAGGAGCCCACGTGGAGCAGGGGCAGAGAGGGACCGAGAAGGAGTGGTGGAGATGAAGTGCTACAGACTGACCACAACCCCCAGTCCAGTCCCCCTGTTCCCCTGCGCTGCACGGGGGGAGGAGCTGGAAGAGCTCAGATGGGGGGAAGGAAGGTGGTTTTGGTTTCTTTCCTTTGGTTCTCACTTGGCTAGCCTGGTAGTAGTAGTAGTTAGGCTGGAAATCTTCCTGTCTCCCTATGCTGGAAATCTTCCTGTCTCCCTATGCTGAGTCTGCTTTGCCCATCACGATCCTTGTTGAGCGATCTCCCTGTCCTTGTCTCAACCCTTGAGCCCTTTGCATCGTATTTTCTCTCCCTTTCTCTTTGAGGAGGGGGAGGGAGAGAGTGGCCGTGATGGAGCTCGGCTGCCCACCCACCGAAAAGCACTGCAGCTGCAAAGTACTGGAAAAGTTTTCAGAAGCAACAAGGTGTTTAACAAGGAAATGTATAGTTTCCTTTTTCAGGCTTCCCAAATAATTGGGCTTATTTCATACTCCCAACTCGGAGGAGCAGAATTGTTGATTTCACCTTCTTTTTTCTTACTTGGAAATCAAAGGTGAACAGCTCTAACAGTAAGGGGAACGTATCAGAAGCAAGCTTTTTTTTGCTCGTAATCCTTTCTTAAGGAAAAGATTTATCACACACCTTCCACAGATGTAGGGGGGCAGAGAATAATTTTGGAACTACTCCAATTAAAGTCAGCTTGGGGAGAGTGGTACTTCTCTACTTGTTTCTGAGACATTCGCATTAGCAACAGAGAGTGTTGTGTTGCCGCTGCCAGGGGCCTACGGTGATGACTTCAGAAACAGAATTGAATGATGTCACTGGGACACCTTGGGAACAGCTGCCTCTGAGCAAGTTGAGCGAGGAGGGACAGAGAAGTGTGCTGGATGTGATGAAACCACGTGAGGACTTGTGGATCCCACGTTGAGGTGCATCGAGAGGGCCCACCCTTCTGTAAGTGTTTGGATGCTTCATTTTAGTCTTCTGTAGTTTGTGTCAAGTCCTTTCACAAGCATGAAGTTTGGTACTTTGGCTCAGTGATGTAGCTGCACAGAGTGACAGGTGCAACATGTGGCTGAGGGCCTCTGCACGTTCTCTCTTTCCCACACACGATCAAGAAAGAAGGGTAGACAAATAAGAGTGTGCTGTGGTCCTGCCATAGACCTCAAGTACTACAGCATAAACAAGAGACTTAAAAGTAGCCCATCACATGAAACTTCAGGACAGCAATGCACTTCATCAGCTGCTCTGGCCTGTTGAGTGGAGTGTCTCAGGATGGAGTGTATGAAGATGCACTCCATCTGCTTTCAGATTAGCACTTGCAGTGAGCAAGCTGCCTGGCCTTAACATTTTTCATTTCATTTTTCACCCGACTTTTGCTGGTTCTTCTTGGTCTAGAAAAAAAAAAAAAAGAAAAAAAAAAAAAAAAAGTGAACTCAGATCAAAATAGAAGGATTTCCTTTTCATTAATTCCATGTTCTTAACTTGACAGATTTGGTTATTGACGTAGAAGGGACATGTCTGGCCTGACTGCAACACCCATGCTTGCAGTGTGGGACAGTTCTCATAAAGGTGATTCAGGGTAGTTTCTGGAAACGAAGACATCAGATGGCAAAGGTAATCTCCAAATCTCTTTTTTTTTTATTTTATTTTTTTTTTTTGTGCTAATGCAGGAAAGGCAAGTAAGAGTAAAAGTAAGAGTCCAGATAGTGTAAGAAGCAGCAGCTGTGAAGGAAACTTCCTTCTGGCTGATATGGCTCCATATCTAGTTGTGGAGGTCATAGTGCAGGTGGAAGCACGTTCTCGTCCAAATACTTAGCTCTCTGTTTTCACAACAGGTCTAGCAGCAGAATGTCTTTGAAACAGCTGTGCCTATGACCAAGTTCATGCATCGTGGTAGACAAGGTAAAAGCTCTGGACAAGCAAAGGGGAGGGATGGATGGGCATGCAATACCATCACTTCAATCTTCTCTCTCTAAGAAACCTTACTGAGAAAACAAAACAGAACAGAACAAAACAGAACAGAACAAATGAAACAAACAGCTAGCTTGCTGGAGACATTGTCTGGGAAACAGTGAAAACACTTGCAGACAAAAACATATCAAAGGACTAACACTTTGAGCTTAATTCTAAACCAACATCCTCAACTCCAACTCTTGTTTATGTTCATCACAGACTGGTAGAATAACATGTCACATTTGATGACTTTGCAGCATAGATGTCAGGAATGCAGCTTGGGATCACCTGCTTCTACTTAGAGTTCAGTCTGAAGGGATGAGCAAGTAATTGTTCCTGGGCTGATGGAAATCTGTTCTAAAGTCTGTTTTCTAACACTCTTCTAGATGCTTCTCTGTCCATCGCTCTGACCTGCCAACTCTGGTGCAAGTGTGCAGTTGTGGCGAGAGGGATTTCCTAGTCCTGATTTGACCTGGTGGACACCAACTTTCCTAGTCAATTGCCGATGTTGCTGAGGAGGCAGCAGTATCAAAGCCCTTGTTGATGAAGATAGAACAAGTTTGGGGAGGCTTTGGCATTTCTGCACAATGCTGCTTCCTGATTGTGACCCAAGACGCAGATTCTGAACTAGGCAAAGTAAGCTAGAGTAAGCTAGACTGCATGTCCTGGTCATTTTCTTTTCTTTCTTTATTTTTCATTCGTCGCTTGTAAGAAAACCTAAATCTTTCAACCATTTGTTTGAAAACACAGTTTTATGGAAATGATTGTGGGTGTGCTCCTTAACCTTGTTTGGAGCCTGTTTAACCTCGCTTCAGTTAGAGGAGACCTGTGCTCAAATTTATGCTTACCATGATCAAGTGGCATCCTTTTTCCTTTTGGTATTCTTGACTTTGGCGCTTGCAAGTGAGGTTGAAAAGAGTTCTCAGGATGATTCTTCTTTTCCTTTGCAGTATCCCAAACTCCAGATTACATCTGATCTTCATCTCTGATCTGAAAAGCTTCGCAGGCCAAAAGAGAATTGAGATGAGGAGTGAAATACAGAATGCTGGTGAATCTTTCCAGTTCCCACCCGTAAGTTTTGTGAGAGAAGCAGGTGCGTTGCTGTAGTGGTAGGAAGTCAATAAGATAACGATCATGCCCTTGAAGGCGAGTAATGGTATAAAGATGAAGAATGCAAGGCCCTGCTTAAAGACAGTCTTTAGGCTGCTTCTGGATCAGCAGTTTGTTTGGTTCTTGCACAGCCTCATCTCCACTTGCTTAGAAGCTGTGAAGATGGGAAGAACACTTGGTGTTTTTCATCCACTCTCAACCTCATCTCCATTTCCTCCGAAGCTGTGAATATTGGAAGTACACTTGGTTCTTCCAATGATGTGAAGAGCCAAGTGTCTTGGGTCTTCCATCAACTCAGAGATAGCAAGAGAATAAGGTATTTGCTTGATAGGACAGTACTTAATGTAGGTATTTATGAAGTGAAGAAGAACACTGAAACCAGCCAAAGCCGTATCAGACGTGGTAAGGCCATGCTTCTGTTAGGAAGTAATTCAGAGTGCTTCCATGGTGTACTTTGGACAGATTAACTCTGGTCCTCTGGACTAAGCACCCCCAAGGGACAATTCTCTGAAAAATCTCTCGGAATGATCTGTCCTTATCTCTTACACTGTAGTCTCCATTAGGAAAGGATAAATATTCATTGCCCATGTGGAAAGGAGCTCCTCATGTAGTTGTTTCTAACCAAAATCTCCTTCTTGTGTTCTGTTGACAGAAACCACTTGGCGAGCCAAGCCAAATCACCGAAAATGGAAGTAGTGGAACTACTTCCAAACCGTGCTGCTGCTTCTAAACCAAACTGCAGTGTAGGTGGGGACAGAGCAAGGGACACAACCCAGCCAGGGCGAAATTGAAAGTCACCTGTCTGAGCCGCGGAAGGAAGCCAGCGTTTCCCAGTTTGAGACTGTTCCCTGACTGGTCCCACAGCAGCTGGAACGCTTCCGATTGCTGCTGATGGATTCCCATGGCTCAGCCAGTGACACAAGCTGCCAGAGCGACTGAAGCGATGTGGAGTTACGCTTCTCCCCCTTCTGCGTTCAGATCCGTGAAAGGAAGGAGAAGAGGGGAGAAGAAGAGGGGAGAAGAGAAGAGAAGAGAGGGGGAAAGAAAAGGACAAAAAGGGAGGGAAGGGGAGGGAAGGGGAGGGAATGGGAGGGAAGGGGAGGGAAGGGGAGGGAAAGGGAGGGGAGGGAAAGGGAGGGGAGGGGAGGGGAGGGAATGGGAGGGGAGGGCAGGGCAGGGCAGGGGCATGTAGGGCATTGTAGGGGAGAGTAGGCTAGTGTAGGATAGTGTTGGGATAGTGTAGGATAGTGAGGGGAGTGTAGGGGAGAGTAGGGGAGGGGAGTGTAGGGGAGGATAGTGTAGGGAGGGGAGTGCGGGGGAGGGGAGTGCAGGGGAGATGAGCACAGAGGAGGGGAGTGCAGGGGAGTGTAGTGTAGGGGGGTTTGGGGGAGTGTAGTGTAGGGGAATGTAGGGGAGGGGAGTTTAGGGGAGTGTAGGGGAGGGGAGTCTAGGGAAGGGGAGTGTAGGGGAGTGTAGGGGAGGGGAGTGTAGCGGAGGATAGTGTAGGGAGGGGAGTGTAGAGGAGGGAAGTGTAGAGGAGCATAGGGGAGTGGAGTGGAGTGTAGGGGAGTTTAGGGGAGGGGAGTTTAGGGGAGGGGAGGGGAGTATAAGGGAGGGGAGAGGAGTTTAGGGGAGTTTAGGGGAGGGGAGTTTAGGGGAGTTTAGGGGAGGGGAGAGGAGTTTAGGGGAGGGGAGTTTAGGGGAGTTTAGGGGAGGGGAGTTTAGGGGAGTTTAGGGGAGGGGAGTTTAGGAGAGGGGAGGGGAGGAGAGGGGAGGGGAGGAGAGGGGAGGGGAGTTTAGGGGAGTTTAGGGGAGGGGAGTTTAGGGGAGTTTAGGGGAGTTTAGGGGAGTTTAGGGGAGTTTAGGGGAGTTTAGGGGCGTTTAGGGGAGTTTAGGGGAGGGGAGTTCAGGGGAGTTTAGGGGAGTTTAGGGGAGGGGAGTTTAGGGGAGTTTAGGGGAGTTTAGGGGAGGGGAGTTTAGGGGAGTTTAGGGGAGTTTAGGGGAGGGGAGTTTAGGGGAGTTTAGGGGAGTTTAGGGAGTAGTTTAGGGGAGGGGAGTTTAGGGGAGTTTAGGGGAGTTTAGGGGAGGGGAGTTTAGGTGAGGGGAGGGGAGGGGAGGGGGTGGGTATTGGTGGGAAGTAAGGAATGGGCCAGGGAGGGAATGGGAGGGGAGGGGAGTGCTACCCTAAATAAAATGGCCAAATAAGTGACATTTTGGATCTGGAGCCAAATACGTATGTTGCCATTCATTCCACAACGCGATTCATCACTGCAATCTGCGTTTTGCACAGTGCCATGAAGGGTTTGGCATGCGCAGAGGTGACTGAGTATTTTCAGAACTAACTTTCCTTCCTAACTGATTTGAGACTTTTGCTGGTGTTATAAATGGCTCAGTCTTCCAAATAGGGCAAGAATCAAAGTTTACAATGTATGAAAGGAACGCATTTCCCTTCAAGCTCTCTATTGAGACGAATTGCTAAAATATTCCTCACACTGGAATGCAAAAGATCAGGTGATTGGTTAACGTAGGGTTGGCAGCTGAGCAGGGGAAACATCTTCAAAACTTCCAAATATTTCCCCTATGCACAACTCCAACTCCTTCTTCTCTGCTCTCTGGTTGTGAAAGTTTCTGTCACCTGCTCAGGAAGCAGAAGCAGTCAAATGGGATTTCGAGGGATCCAGCTACAGCATCAGTGCCACTTAGAGGAAGCAATCAATTCCCAGGTAGTCCAGGGTTTGAAGAGAGTTTAAGCAGCTTTCCAAGGAACATGTCCAAGTGCAAAGCAACCAATTGATCTGACTCTCCAGTGAAAGAAAAGGAAGTGCAGAGCAGCAAATGCTTGAGAGAGGGAAAGCTTTTTGAAGCACAGCCACTTTGGGCCGAGACCTGTTAATGTGCTAGGCAGTCCCAGGAAGCGTCAAAGTGTGAGCCGTGCTCTCCAGCACTGGCGTCCTGCACTTTCTGGAGGTTCTTTATTCTGTAATCAGAATTCCAACAACCTCCTCAACAGCATACAGATCCAAAACCCACAGACCCAGATCAAACAGCCTCCCATCTGGTTGTATCATTGTCAGGCATGCATTCTTTTCTAGTAACTGGTCCTTTCTTCCTTAGTTCAGATCAAACACAAATAACAAAATTCAGAGGACTCCTAAACTCTCCAGACAGCTCTGGTGTTGCTGTAGGATGGAATACAATTGTTTTCCTTACAACCCACCAGTTCTTTCCATGTCTGTTCTGGACCTTGGGATCTCTTTTGGGAGCTACATTACGCAGAGAACTACAAGAAGGCTGAGATCACCGCTGCCTCAATGTAATGCAAAGGTGAAGGCCTTTATGACAGCCAGTTTGGAAATGAATGCAGCCCCATCTTGTCAGCATCAGAGCAGAGCCAGCTCCAGATGGCTCCAAAAAGGACCTGCTGCTGGCCAGAGCCGAGGCAGGGAGTGCTGCTGGGTGGGCTTCGGGGGAGCAGATTTAAGGAAGGGGGGGAAATACTGCTGTGCAACAGCAGCTGGGAGAGAGGATTGTGAAAGCGTGAGAGAAGCAGCCCTGCAGCTCCAAGAGAAGGGCCGCAGGAGGGCAGGAGGTGCTGCAGGCAGGCAGGCAGCAGCAGTTCCCCTGCGGGCTGTGCAGGGAGAGGCCCCTGGTGGAGCAGGCTGTCCCCCTGCAGCCCATGGGTCCCCCATGGAGCAGATCTCCACGCTGCAGCCCCCCCATGGGTGGAGGAGCCCCCGGTGGAGCAGGTGGATGTGGCCTGGAGGAGGCTGCGGCCCATGGAGAGCCCCGCAGGAGCAGGCCCCGGGCCGGAGCTGCAGCCCGTGGAGAGGAGCCCACGCAGGAGCAGGGGGTCTGGGGGGAGCTGCCCCCACCCGTGGGGGACCCGTGCTGGAGCAGGTTGCTCCTGGGGGATGGATGGATGGACCCCGTGGGACAGAGCTGTGTGGGAGCAGTGCTTGAAGAGCTGCTGCCTGTGGTCAGCCCATGTGGGATCAGCTGGGGAAGGACGGCATCCCTGGGAGGGACCCGACGGGGAGCTTGGGCACAGAGTGACCTTGAAGGAGTAGCAGAGACAAAGTGCCATGGGCTGGCCACAGCCCCCGTTCCTCCTTTCCCTGTTATAATCACTTTATGATCTTTAAATCTCTGAGCACTCAAATTAAAGAAATACTGTCATTGCTACAGAATGTCTTTGCTGTGCTTCTGGTCAAACTCACCACAGAAGAAAGAAAGAATCAAGACCATGGATGAAAAAGGTGAAAAATAAATAAATAAATAAATAAATAAATAAATAGGCAAAAAAAAAAAAAAAAATGTAGAGTCTAAATAATTAAACTAAAGGGGGAAAATGTTTAATGTAGCAAAACTGTGTGATTTTTAGTGGCAAACAGAAGTTGTCTTGACTATACTTTTTACCATTATCAATAATTCAGTGATAAAAAATTGATTTTTTTACTACAAATTTTATTTAAAAGAAT